GAAGCTGTGGTGAGAACAGGGGCTCTTCCAGGTGCACAAAGCAGCACCCAGAGCCAGCTGATGTGATGCATCCTGAGTGGCATCTTGGCTGGACTGGGAAGGAAGAGAGGAGGGGGAGTGGGAGAGGGAGAGTGACAGAGGAGGATGGAGGGAAGAGAGCCAGACAGAAGGGAAAATTGGGGTGTGGATTAGGTCATTTGCATGGACACTGGCAGGCCTGGGGAAGACTACCTAAGCCAGTTTCCCAGGTACCCAGGCCTGGGAGTCAGTTGCTCATGGCAACAAGGAGAGGGAGAGAGTAGCAGAGCACGACTTCCTGGGTGGTAGGAAAAGGTATTTGGCGTCAAGTAGAAGAACCCTGTTCCTGGGACTGACAAGGAGCTCGGAGAATCCACCACCATGAACCCAGACCTAGTGCTGAGCAGGGTGGGAGGGTGTGAGGACTTAGAGCAGCTGGAAGGAGGGAAGAGTATGTCAGGAGGCTGAAGCTGTGAGAGGGTTCCAAAGAGCTGGGGAGAATGTGTCAGAAGGAAGGAGGAGGTACCAGCAAGGAGGAATAGTCAGGGATTGGAAACTTTTGCCAGAGATGGATGGGATTTTGAGAAAGGTGGTTTTACAAATGCTTGTGATAGGGGACTCAAGAGTTGGAAATTTTTAGTTTAAGTAATAGCTAATAAGCTTAGTAATCAGTGCATGTAAAAGCTTTTGTTCCAGGAACTGAAGGTATGACCTACCCTGACTCCAAGAGATGATAAGCAGTTCCACCTTTGTGCCTCGGGAGAACTGCAAGCAATTCAAGATGGTTTCTGGGCCATTGTCCTCCAGTGAAATGACCAAGGGCTAGGGTGAGAATACTGCAGTTTTCTTAACCCAATTAACTTTTCCCCGAATTCCAAACCCCTTACCTACACTTTGTTCTCCTTATAAAAAGGGATTTTAAAAAAAAGATTTTGTTTATTTATTTTTAGGGAGAAAGAGAGGGAGAGAAACACCAATGTGTGCTTGCCTCTCGCACGCCCCCCAACTGGCGACCTGGCCCACCACCCAGGGAACCAAACTGGTGAATCTTTGGTTCACAGGCCAGCATTCAATCCACTGAGCCACACCAGCCAGGGTGGGCCATTTTAAAATGGAATTTAAGACAGTCCATTAACGTATGAATCCACCATCTTCTCAGATCACAGGTCATCTGAATAAAGTGCCCATAAAGATTAAATCCCTGTCTCTGCTTATTGGGTTCTGTATGTGACAGGCAGCATGAATGCTGGTCTTTTCTGGTTTCAGTTGGGAGTGGTGTGGGCCTTTTGATTTCATATGGTTTTGATAGGGGTTTAAGACTTGGGAAAATTTAGCTTAAGGTAAATAGTCATAAATCTAGCAAGTAATGTGTATGTTAATTTTTGTTTCAGTAACTACAGATAAGGCCCATCCTGGTGCCTGAGATTAAGCAGTTGACCTCCTGGGGCACTGGCTGGAGATTACCTAATCTGGAGAGGACTGTAACCAGGAAGAAGCAAGCAACTACCCTTCCCCCTTGGAGGCAACTGTTGAATTTCAAAGGCTTTCGCTGACACCTTGTTTGCCCTTCCCCAACCCCCTTATAAAAGATCTGGCTGGGAAAGAAAGAGCAAGATGGTTTGTTAGGGTGTGAGCCTGCCATCTTCTCAGATTGCCTGCCATCTGAATAAAGCGCCTATCAAAGATTCAATCACTGTCATTGCTTATTGGATTTGGTAGTGACAGGCAGCCCGAACACTGGTGTCTTTTCCGGTTACAGTTTCTCAAGCTGTGAGCCCCTGCCAGCATTGCTTGAACAGGTTTGAGTTTTCACCAGGGTTACTCCAGTGAGGTCAGAGTTGAGTGTGAGTCAGAGGAGAAAGAAGTTGGAGATTTTGTTGTAATACAGTCAAGTTTTATCAGTCTGTAGATTAAAAAGTCAAGGCTGACTTCCCTCCTCCTTCCATATCGGTTGCTCAAGGCATACAGTTACTCTAGTCTGAGCTAAACACAATTGTAAAAGTAAACCTGGAACTGGAAAAGGCACCATCGTTCATGCTGCCTGTCTCGTACAGAACCCAATGAGCAGAGAGGGATTGCATATTTATGGACACTTTATTCAGATGGACAGCGGTCTGAGAAGATGGCAGGTTCGGCAGGTTCATACCCTAAAAAAAACCATCTTACATTTTCTTTCCAAGCCAGCCTTTTATAACAGGGAATAAACAAGGTGCAGGAGGGGTTTTGAAATTCAGGGAGAATTAGGTGAAAGAAAACTGCAGCATTCTCTAGTGCCCCAGGAGGTCGGCTGTTTCTCCCAGGAGCCAGGATGGGCCTTATCTATAGGTTCTGAAACAAAAGCTTTAATGTATGCATTACTTACCAGGCTTATAACTATTTACCTTAAGCTAAAATTTTCCAACTCTTCAGTCTCCTGTCAAACCCACTGACAAAAATACTTTGACTTCCTCAGAGAAATGCCTAATTTTTCCTACTGTTTGGGATTTTCTCGGCCACTGCTTGCCTCCATCAATAAACCAAGAGTGGTGCTCTCTGAGCCATGAGCCAGGTGACCCTCAACCACTTCTCCCAGACATTCACACAAAAATACACCCACCCTTTCAGAATGAGCTTGTATAGACTCATTGGGCTGGAAAAGACAATCCTCCATTTCACTGGATAGGATACTGAAACCTCTGGTGCCTCCAGGACTTTAAACATGGACTAGAACCTAGAACTTCTGTCTCCTAGTCATTCCTTATGTCCCTAGTCAGACTTTATTTCTCACACCCACTAAGAATCCTGAATTTATCTGTGAATTTGACACTGCACTAGGGTATTTGGTACTGCCAACCAAGGCCGGGAGGGCCCCTTATCTCACACTGGCAAAAGTTGGGGACCAAGGGCCAAGGATCTGGATACCCCTGCATGGGGCATGTAGGAAAAGAGTCCTACCACATCTCCCCACCAGCATGTAGAGAAAAAAACAGCCTGGTGCACTACTGTTTCCATGTAAAACTGTAACTAGGTGGACTGAGCACTTGAAGACCGTCCCCTCCACCTACCACCAAAGTCCACCTACCACCAAAGTCCTGTCTTAAACTCCAAGCTGAGATTAGGCCCCCTATCCCATTCACACTCCCAGGAAAGAGAAGTGGCAGGAAGGGATAGGATACAAAACTTTACAAACTTAAATTCTTACCATGACATATTTTTGTATTTCTGTTCTCACTGGAGTGTGAACTATTCTTTTGAGAAGTTTGGTATTGATAAAAAGAAGGGAGGAGATAGAGAAATAGAATTTTTAGTTAAAGTTATTTTGAAAATTTCATAGTCTCCCAGTTAGACAAATGGGAAGGGAGCTATCAACTATTAGGCACCTCCTGTAAGCCACGCTCATTTAAACCTCACATTAGCCCTTTAAGGAATCAAGGTCTCAAATTCAAAGATAAAGATTCAAAGAATTAAATAACTTGCCCAAGGGCCCTCTTTTAGTGAGCAGTGGAATGTGACTTGGAGCCTATGTGTCTGACACAAAAGCCAAAGTTCTTCCTCCAATCCACAGGGCCTCACTACAAAGATTTCTACAAAGAGGGCTTTTTAGAATAGAGAAAACTGGGTGGAGGCATAACAGTCACAGAATTTAAAAGATAATGGCAAAGAATCAAGGCACCACCTAAACACTGACCTCACCCCAAAGGGCATCCCTACAGTTCAGGAGTTTCAGTTAAGTCAGGAAAAAACTTTTTATGGGTGGATGCTGGTTGCACTGAAGAGGAATGACTTCAATAGTCAGTCATTTATTTCATGACTTTTATTTGCAAAACATAACTCACAATGTACATAATTCCTGCAATCACGGTGTTTACCTAGAGAAACCAGATTGTGACACATTATATAACAAGCAGTTTCATCAAAATTGATGTGTAAGGAGAACGTTGTAGCCCCAGCAGCTTAATTGGTTAGAGCATCATCCTGATACACTAAGGCCATGGGTTCAATTCCAATGAATGCATAAATAAGTGGAACAACAACAAATCGATGCCGCTCCTTCTCTCTCCCCTTCCCCCTTCCTCTCTCTCAAGTCAATAGATAAAATTTTAAAAAGAAAAATGCTGTAATATCCTGGAAGATATAGTGAATCCAATTGGCAGGAAACAAGGGCTTCCTCACCTAGGCTTGGATGGGTAGGGAAGCGTGGGTATGAGAGGTTGGGGGGAGGGGCAGTCTTCAAGGTGCTAATAAATGCTGGTACAGAAGCTGTGGAAACTGCAGCTTACCATAGTTTGGGAGTGTCAGAGAAAAAGAAGACAGAGGTGAAGAGCTGAAAGAGGTTTCATTTAGGACCATGAAGCTCTGACCTTGGTAATTTGGTGGAGGGATGGTTGCAGTTGGGAAGATAAAAGATAGTACAATTTTTTTAAGATTTTCTTTTCAAAGACAGGGGAAGGGAAGGAGAAAGAGAGGGAGAGGAGCATCGATGTGTGACAGAAACACTTGGTTGTGTCTCGAATGTCCCCAGCTGGGGACGTGGCTGGTAACCCAGGCATGTGCCCTGACTGGGAATTGAATGGGAGACCTTTTGATTGTAGACCAGCACTCAATCCACTGAGCCACAACAGCCAGAGCAAGACAGTAGAATCTCAATAACATAAATAATTGCATAATTAGAAGTAGTACTACTAGGGCTACTTGTATAGTTGGGGTGAAATGGATATGCAAGGTCATCGACAGTTTAAGTAGAGGCCTGAAGGGCATTTGCCTTGGCATTTGAGTTGAAGTGAGCCCGGCTTGGTGTGGCTCAGTGGATTGAGCGCCAACCTGCAAAACAAAGGTCACCAGTTCCATTCCCAATCAGAGCACATGCCTGAGCTGTGGGCCAAGTCCCCAGTGTGGGTCATGTGAGAAGCAACCACAAATGATGTTTCTCTCCCTCTTTCTCCCACCCTTCCCCTCTGTTTAAAAATAAATGAATATCTATAAACAAAAAAGTTGGAGTCAATTCTGAGAATGGAGAGGAGAAAATGGAGAGGAGAGGAGGGCGGATGAGATTTACACGAGATGGAGAAAATTGAGGGCGCTGGATTGCGTGGCCTGGAAGGCTGGGGTAGTTACCAGCTTCAAAAACCAGTTGGCAAAATCTGAAAGTGTTGCTGGAGGAACTGGGAACATATTCAAGAGGCGATGCACTCGTGGGGCAGCATCGACCAACAGCTCAGAGAGCCTCGGAGCGGCCTAGGCCTTGGGAAGGGCCGTGACTCTAACCCGGGCCGCTCGGAACCACCCAGGGAGCAGCAGGTGACTTCGGGGAGATCAGGGCCCGGGGTGCGCTACGGGTGGGAACGAGCACTGGAGGACACGGAGTCGGTGGCGCGGCGGGACGCCCGGAGAGGGGAGCGGGCCGGAGTTGGGAAGCTTCTCAGAGGCTCGCAGAGGCACTTCGCACGCACGCGCAGACCGGCCGCTGAGCCCGGAGGCACAGAGGAGGGGGAGCTAGAATGAAGTGTGGGTGGAACGTATTTCCGCTCTGGCGGACAAATAATACCGGCCAAAGGGGAGGCCAGGCCATCTGGCCCTTTAACCGTGTGGGGGAGCTGGTGAAGAAGGGGGGTCGGGAAGGGGGGGACTCCTGCTCCTTTAATTCCCTCCCCTCTTCCTCCTCCCACAGTTCTTGCCGCGGCCGCCGCGCGCGGAGCCTAGAACACACCACACGAGCCGCCCCCGCCCCACAGCCCTGACGCCCACGCGGAGCCAGACCCGCGCGCGCGCGCGCCCCGGTCACCCCCGCGCCTGCGCGCTGCCCAGGCCCTGCCCGAGTGTGGGGGCGCCCGCGGCCCCGGGGGGGTGGGGGAAGTAGGGGGCAAAAAAACAGAACGCGGACCAGGGCCAGGTGAGAGGCGCGTGCACTTAGGGTCGTGGGGCTTGGGGGGGGCGTGCACCATGCGTGCAGGCGGCTGGGGAAGGACGTGAAAGGCGTGTGCAAACGTGCAAGGGGTGGGGGGGCGGAGGAAGGAGGCAGCGAGTAAAGGGGGCGGGGTGAGAAGATATGCAACCTGGGCACCCGGGAGCCTAGAGTCCCAGGCCTTTACTCCTCCTGCTTTCTCGGGCAAGCGGGCTCGTCCCACATTGCGGGCGGTTGGGCTGGGGGTGCGGACACCAGAGCCCCGCCCCCGGGAACCACGCCTCCCTCCCCTTGGAGGGACTGTGCCTCCTCCTGCCCCCCTCATGGTGCTGGGGAAACTGAGGACCAGACCTGAAGACTGGGAGATGTGATGCTGGGGGGCTGGGCAAGAATGGAGGAGAGGGGCCTGGAGCATTGGCTTAGGAGAGCCAGAGACCTTTGTCTCTGACCGGTTTCCTTCCCAACCAGGGTTGCCCACCCCCTGCCACAATGGCGTCTGGGGTGGAAGTCCTGCGCTTCCAGCTGCCTGGCCACGAGGCCGCTACACTGAGGAACATGAACCAGCTCCGAGCAGAGGAGCGGTTCTGCGACGTGACCATTGTGGCCGACAGCCTCAAGTTCCGCGGCCACAAGGTCATCCTGGCTGCCTGCTCCCCTTTCCTGCGGGACCAGTTCCTGCTGAACCCCAGCTCTGAGCTGCAGGTCTCACTGATGCACAGTGCACGCATAGTGGCCGACCTGCTCCTCTCCTGTTACACGGGTGCCCTGGAATTCGCCGTCAGAGACATCGTCAACTACCTGACCGCAGCCTCCTACCTGCAAATGGAGCACGTGGTGGAGAAATGCCGGAATGCCCTCAGCCAGTTCATCGAACCAAAAATAGGCCTCAAAGAGGATGGGGTCAGCGATACCAGCCTTGTGAGCAGTGTCAGTGCCACCAAATCCCTACTCCCTCCTTCCAGGACCCCAAAGCCAGCCCCCAAACCCCCACCCCCACCCCCTCTACCCCCTCCGCTCCTGCGGCCTGTGAAGCTGGAGTTCCCGTTGGATGAGGATCTGGAGCTAAAGGCCGAAGAGGAGGATGAAGACGAGGATGAGGATGTGTCTGATATCTGCATTGTGAAGGTGGAGTCTGCCCTGGAGGTGGCACACCGGCTCAAACCTCCCGGAAGTCTGGGAGGAGGCCTGGGCATCGGAAGCTCGGTGGGCAGCCACCTGGGGGAGCTGGCCCAGAGCAGCCTGCCCCCCAGCACCGTGGCCCCACCACAGGGTGTGGTGAAAGCTTGCTATAGCCTGTCCGAGGATGCGGAAGGGGAGGGCCTGCTGTTGATCCCTGGAGGCCGGGCCAGCGTGGGGGCCACCTCGGGCCTGGTGGAGGCAGCAGCAGTGGCCATGGCTGCCCGGGGGGCGGGGGGCAGCCTGGGAGGGGGGAGCAGCCGGGGTCCCCTGCCTGGGGGCTTCTCCAGTGGTAACTCTCTAAAGAACATCAAGTGCACCAAGTGCCCAGAGGTATTCCAGGGCGTGGAGAAGCTGGTCTTCCACATGCGGGCGCAGCACTTCATCTTCATGTGTCCGCGCTGCGGCAAGCAGTTCAACCACAGCAGCAACCTCAACCGCCACATGAACGTGCACCGGGGTGTCAAGTCTCACTCTTGTGGCATCTGCGGCAAGTGTTTCACACAGAAGTCCACGCTGCACGACCACCTCAACCTGCACTCAGGAGCAAGGCCCTATCGCTGCTCCTACTGCGATGTGCGCTTTGCTCACAAGCCTGCCATTAGGCGACACCTCAAAGAGCAGCATGGCAAGACCACTGCCGAGAACGTGCTGGAGGCCAGCGTGGCCGAGATCAACGTCCTCATCCGCTAGCACTGGCCCGGCAGGCCTGGGTCCTTGAGCTGGGTGAGAAAGGGGTTCCTTGGCCCAGGAGAATAGGGGGTTGGGGATCAGAGAGGACAGATATGGTGGGGAACTTAAGCAGACACACACACCCTGAGGGGCCCAAGATTTCTTGAGAGAAGATCCTGCCTCTTCAGAAGAAAAGGATGGAGAGGGAGAGGGTTCTTTGGGAAGGCCAAGGGAATATAGGGTCCCAGAGAGATCGTATTAAAGATACATGGATATGTGGAGAGAGGGAAAGGGTCCTACAAAATGAGGCAAAACAACTGGAAAATGTTTTATTCCTAGCTAAGCCTGCCCAGGGAGAGGTCTGACATTTCTTGAGGTAGTGTTGGGTGGGTGGGAATTGGGAGGGAATTTGGCAGGAATTTTTTACATGCTCCAGCTTAGAATAGATGCTTGGGAGAGGGACTGGTAGTGGGAAGGATTATTGAATCCCAGAAAGGAAGGGAGGGCAGGTCTTGCATGTGGGGGGAATGGGGCTGTGGGTACAAGGCTCACCAAAATTCTAGGGAGAACAAGGTGGCAGGTAAGAGATCATGGGGGTGAGCATACTGGATAGATAATGGGAAGTGGGATACAATAATAGCAAGAACAGGGAATGGGGGTGGGGGTAGGGCATTTAGATGAAAGGACACGAGAAGGGCTGTTTAGGGGGAGGGAGAGGAGAGTTATACAGTATTTTTTTTAAAAAGCATATTTTTTAGGATTTTTTCTGGAGTTTGGGGTTTTAGGGTTTTGTGGGGGTTTTGTTTTTGTTTTTGTTTTGTTTTGCTTTTGTTTTCCACAAAATAAATAAAAAAAAAAAAACTTTTTCTTTGTACTGTGATTCAAAACTTCATGTAAATGACCATCCCACTCTAGACAGCCTGTTACTGTGGTCAATACCCAGACATAGGTCACAATTCATGCAGGTCCCATGCCTGAAGGAGGCTCAGTGGGGAAGAGTAGTATGACAAGTGGGCTCCTCTGGCCAGGGACTCTCCCAGTTCTGAAGCCCTAACACCTGACAGATACCTCAAGCTTAAGTGCTCTGTGACTGTTGTGGCAGTGATGACACATGACCTGCTCCTGTATATGAGGAGTTTGTTACCCAGGCCATTGATCGCCTGTGTGATCATTGTGCCTACTGAAATTGTAAGCAGGAGCCTATGTTTGGGCACTTTTGGTCTGAAGAAAAGGTTTGTGGCCTTGGGAAAGCTAAAAACCACTAGGTTTGGATTAGAGTACAGGAAAGACTACAATTCCCACAAAACCCTATTGGAATAGTTCTTAACCAAAGACAACTACAGCTCCCAGAAGGCTTTGAATTGGCCTCAGGAGCCGTATATTGCAACCATCTGCCTGTGTCAGATACTACTTGAGATCATAGATGTTTTCCCAACTTTGACCAGAACATAATACCTATCAAGGTTGTATATCTTGACCTAATATTCATACTTCCACTCTGCTGGGCTAGAACCTACAGAGTGCCTCCCTATGACTGTGAAGTATTTGGCAAAAAAGGTTACTAGAGTGTGACCAGACAGTAATGACTCGGGCCACTGGGGGCTCACCTGAATGCCTAGTGCATGTGGTGGGGCAAGATGTCTGGCATAAAGTGGAGGGCCCCCGAGTTTTCAAAACGGGACATTAACCAGCATGCTAAAGCCAGCCAAAAGTAAAAGTGTCCTCTGCTAGTCCCCATCACCCCTTCTTGCTCGTTAGAGAAGCGAGGCCAAAATTGAGTCTGTGCCTTCTATCTGGAGCCTCAAACTAGAAAGCACCGAGAAGCGGGAGAAGCACACGTAAGCCAGATTTGGAAATACAGCCGCTCCCGGGAGTCTGACACAGCTTGTTACCTAAAACCTGGTGTAGGGGGATGAAGAGGCCACACCTGGACCCGGTAGCGCCTCGCCTTCGGTTCCCTGCTGAAATAAAACCAGGAATGGCAGCAATTCTCTCCAGCAGCCTCCACCCTACAGCAACCATTACCAACTACAAGGCCCCTCTGGGAGGAAAATGGACAGAAAGCGCGCAGTGGCTCCTTTAAAGTTTCTCCTCGCCCTCCCTCCCCGCCCACGTGACCCGGGGCGGCCGCGCGCCGGCTCTGCCCCCAGCGCAAGCGGCGATGGCGGCGGCGGCGGGAGCTGCAGCGGCGGCGGCCGCCGAGGTGCGGAAGGGGAGGGGGAGAGGCGGGTGCATGCCCGCGCGCGCGCCCGGGGGAAGCGCGCGCCCGTGCAATGCTCCGGGGGTGCAACGGGGCCGGGGGGCCCGGGCAGGACTTACAGCAATCCGGAGGGCTAGCACCGGGGGCGGATGAGGGGACCAGGGGGTGGGAGGTGGGGGGAGTGGGCACGGAGGCGCGCGTGCAGCCGCTGGCTGTCCCCGAGTGGGCGGCGGGCGCCGGAGCCCCAGGAGCACGCGCGAGGGGCACGAGGGGCCGTCCTCCGGGCTGGGGGGGGGGCAACGGGCGCTGGAGGGGTTGGTACCCGGGGTCCCCGCGGCCTGGGGGACAAAGGGGGAACGGTTCGTGCAACCGGGAGGAGGGGGCGGGGCCGGTGCTCGGAGGCCCCGCCCCCTCCCCCTCCTCTCTTCTCGGCCTCTGAGATGCGGGGTCTACCCAGAGGCAGGGGGCTGATGCGGGCCCGGGGGAGGGGTCGTGCGGCCCCTCCCGGCAGCCGAGGTCGCGGAAGGGGGGGTGCCCACAGAGGAAGAGGTAGGCCCCGGAGCCTACTCTCTCTTCCCAGGGCCCAGGGGCCCTGGGTCCCCCAACTTCCTACCGGGCTGACCAGCCCTCCTATCCCTTGTGTCGCCTCCCAGGGGGAGGTCCCCGCTGAGATGGGGGCTCTGGTGCTGGACAAGGAGCTCAGAGGAGCCACCGAGAGAGGTGAGTGAAACAGAAACCGGCCCAGCTAGACTTCACCTCCCCAAACACAGGACTCCCTGAGCCCATAGTCCTGAACTTTTTCTCTTCCCTTACAGTTCATGGCTCCTTTGGGGACAACCCACTTAGTGAGGAGACCCTACCTAAGGCCAGCCCCGACTCTCTGGAGCCTGCTGGCCCCTCATCCCCAGCAACTGTCACCGTCACTGTTGGCGATGAGGGGGCCAACACCCCTGTAGGAGCCACACCACCCATTGGGGATGAACCTGAAAATCTTGAGGGAGATGGGGACCTGCAAGGGGGGCGCATCCTGCTGGGTGAGAGGCTGTGGAGGCTGGGGATGAGGTGGGGCATCCTCTGATTCTGCCTTTCCTCTAATCTTGCCTCTGCCTGTCTGCTTGTGTGTTTTCCAGGTCATGCCACAAAGTCATTCCCCTCTTCACCCAGCAAAGGGGGTGCCTGTCCCAGCCGTGCCAAGATGTCAATGACAGGGGCTGGGAAATCACCACCATCTGTCCAGAGTTTGGCTATGAGGCTGCTGAGTATGCCAGGGGCCCAGGGGGCAGCAGCATCAGGCCCTGAACCTACTCCATCTACTACCAGCCCTGAGGGACAGCCCAAGATCCACCGAGCCAGGAAAACCATGTCCAAACCTGGAAATGGACAGGTGAGGATTAGGGGAAGGGTTGAGGGGGTGGGAGAGCCAGGTAATCAACCCTCCATCTCTTGTGGGCTTTTTTATAATACATATTCAGGTCTTTTCCAATCCATTCACAACTTTACAATTTACCAAAGGGCTATTTTGTGTCACATTCTGGACTGGGGTGTAATGTGTGAACAGATAGTTTCTTGTCTTCCTGGAGCTTACCGTCTTGGGGAGAGGGGAGTAGAAGAGACCAATGTTAAAGATTTATTTATGTAGTTAATGTTTTAATTACTCTTAAGATAATGATTATGTAAAGAAACTTGAAACCACTCTTTTTACTTCGAAGTGACACCCCAGGGAATTTTTCCTCCCATAGAACCTACCCCTGTTTCATTTTAAAGGTTGTGTTCCTACTGGGAATGAGATGAGGGCAAGGGACATGACCGGGGCCCCAGAATCTCACAACCTTTATGACAGTGTTTTTAGGGCCCTTGGTAGTATTGTGTTGTGCATGTGGTTTGAGTAGCTTTGGTCAAGGTCTTAACCTGTTTTCTCATCTATAAAATGGGAAGAAAGGACCCACTGCACACTCGAAGAAGTGAGGGTTAGGTGTGGGATGTCCTTGACCCACTTTCTCTGGGGAGACAGCAGTTCTTGTTACAGCCACATCTGGCTACTTCAGCATGAGATGGCATTTTTGAAGTTGTGGCTCACCACCTCACCACCATCTGGCACTCCTGGCTAATTCAGGCCAAACCACAACCAATTCCTTATCCTGAGTGTGCTCCCTCTGGTTCCCAGCCCCCAGTCCCTGAGAAGAGGCCCCCTGAAGTGCAGCATTTCCGAATGAGTGATGATGTGCACCCGCTTGGGAAGGTGACCTCAGGTCAGTCCCACCCCTCACCCACCTGCAGCTTGATATGGCCTGTCCTGAGGGTTTAGAGTACAAGCCTGGATCCTTCTCTCCTTCCAGATGTGGCCAAAAGGAGGAAACTGAACTCAGGAGGTGGCCTGGTGAGCAGGAAGGGGCAGAGAACAAGACCTCTCCACCTGGGGGCTACTTCAGGGAAGCCCCAAACTAGGACTGCTTCCCCACTCAAAGGAAATGGGTTGGTGGGGAATGCCAGCAGTGTCTATTGTTGTCCTACTTTTCCAGTCGGAGGAGTTGGGCTCTGCCCGGAGTTCAGGAGAAATGACCCTGGAGAAGGCAAACCCTGGGTCCCTGGAGGAGTGGGAGACAGTGGTGGGGGATGACTTCAGCCTCTACTATGACTCCTACTCTGTGGACGAGCGTGTGGACTCTGACAGCAAGGTGAGATGGCCTGCCGCCCCGTGTCCAGGGCTTACTTTCCCGTCTTTTCTGCCCCCCGCTTCACTCTCTCCTTTTTATCTTCTGAACACCCACTAATTCATTGCCCCATACTCTCTATAACCTAATGCCGTGTGTGCTGCACCCATTCCATCCCTACCCTTTCCACAGCGACCACCATCCATTTTATGGTTTATTTGTTGTTTGCCTGCTGGGTTATTCCTTTGCTCCTAGTTTGGTTTTTGTTTGCTTGTTTGTTTTGTTTTGTTTTAAGATTTTATTTATTTTTTTACACAAAGGGGAAGGGAGGAAGAAAGAGAAGGAAACATCAATGTGTGGTTGCCTCAAGTGTGCCCCCTACTGGGGACCTGGCCGGCAACCCAGGTTTGTGCCCTGGTTAGGAATTGAACTGGCAACTCTTTGGTTCACAGGCTGGCGCTCAATCCACTGAACCACACCAGGCAGGGCACTTGGTTCAGTTTTATCGTACACGTGTTTGCCTATGTACTATAATGCTTAGTCTTGCCTGTTTTGTGTTATCATGGAAACTTTCAAATACAGGTAATCCTTGAACAACACAGGTGTGAGCTGCATGGGTCCTCTTACACAGATTTTTTAAAAATAAATACTGTCGGTGTATTTTTTTATGATTTATTTTTTCTATCTTTATTGTAAGAATGCAGTATGTATTGCATATACAAAATATATGTTAATCAACTGTTTACATTATTGGTAAGGCTTCCAGTCACCAGCAGGCTGCTAGTTAATTTGGGAGGAGTCAAAAGTTACACATGGAGTTTTGACTGCATGGGGGTCGGCACCCTGCCCCTGTGTTGTTTAACAACCAACCGTGTGCACAAAAGAATAGAACAGTGAGCCCCATGAGGCCATCACCCAGCTCTAGCAATACACAGCTGATATTTTTTCTTTTTTTAATAATTATTTTATTGTTGTTAATTACAGTTGACTGCATTTTCCCCCAACCACTACCCCCCACCCCAGTATTTTTTCTTTTTAAAATTTATATGTTTGTTTTTTACATTCAATGTTATCTTCTACTGGTTTCAGGTGTACAGCACAGTGGTCAGACAATCATGTGCTGTACAAAGTGCTGCCCCTGAGTCCCAGTCCCCGCCTGGCCCCACACATACTCGTCACGGTGCTGACTGCGTCCCCTGTGCTGTGCTTCACGTCACACCCCCGGGGCTGTGCCCTCCCTGCCAGTGTGCGCTTCCCAGTCACTCCCCTTTCACCCAGCCTCCTGCCTCTCTCTCATCCGGCAACCTTTCAAAATCCTCTCTAACGTTTAGTTTGTTTCTGCTCCATTTATTTTGTTTTTTAGATTCCACATATAAATGAAATCATACGGCATTTGTCTTTGACTTATTTCACTCAGCACAATACCCTCTAGGTCCATTCATGTTGTCATAAATGGCAAGATTTTATTCTTTCCTTACAGTCGAGTAATATTCTATTATATATGTACCTAATTTTCTTTATCCGGTCGTCAACCGATGAACACTGAGGCTGCTTCTGTATCTTGGCTATTATAAATAACACTGTAGTGAACATAGGGGCACATGTGTTTTTTTGAATTAGCATTTTGGATTGCTTTGGATAAATACCCAGGAGTGGAATTGCTGGATCATATGGTCGTTCTATTTTTAATTTTTCTCAGGAACCTCCATACTGTTTTCCATAGTGGTTGCAGCAATTTGCATTCCCACCAACAGTGCACAAGGGTTTCCTTTTCTTCACACTCTTGTCAACAGTTGTTGATTTATTGATGGTAGCCATTCTGACAGGTGTGAGGTGAAACTTCACTGGTTTTAATTTGCTCATATCACTATAAACATTAGTGATGTTGAGCATCTTTCCCTTTGTCTATTGGCCATCTCTATGTCCTCTTTGCGGAAGTGTTTATTTGGGTCCTTTGCCCATTTTTTAGTTGGATTGTTTGGTTTGGTTTTGGTTTTTGCTGTTCAGTTATATGAGTTTCTCACATATTTTGGATATTAATCCTTTATCAGATGTATCACTGGCAAATATCTTTTTCTGTTTTGTTGGTGGTTTCCTCTGCTATGCAGACACTTTTTAGCTCAATATAATCACATGTCTAGTTTTTCTTTTGTTGCCCTTGACTGAGAAGACATGTCCAAAAGCATACTGCTAAGAGCCATGTTAGAGAGTTTACTGTATGTTTTCTTCTAAGAATTTTATGGTTTCAAGTCTTAAATTGAAGTCTTTGATCCATTTTGAGTGTATTCTCATATATGGGGTAAGAAGCTGGTTCAGCTTCCCTAGCAGCATTGATTGAAGAGGCTCTCCTACCCCGTCGTGTATTCGCACCGACAGCCGGTCCTTACACCATCCACTCCTCCCCCAGCGGACCCTGCTTGTGTTAGAGCCAGCCCCGGCCATGTTTTATCTAGAGATATTTCCATATGTATCTCTAAGCATAAGACCTCTTTCTGCCCTGACTGGTGTGGCTCAGTGAGTTGAGCCTCTTCCCACAAATCCAAAGGTCACCAGTTCAGTTCCCGGTCAGGGCACCTGCCTGGATCACTGGCTGGGTCCCTGATTGGGACATGCAAGAGGTAACTGATTCATGTTTCTCTCCCTCTCCGTCTCCCTTCCTTCCCCTCTCTCTAAAAATAAATAAATAAAATCTTTAAAAAGAAAAGACCTCTTTCTGTTCCTTAACATCACTGCATGACTATTTTCACACCTAAAAAATTTACCAGTGATTTCTCAATATCATCGTTTCACTACCATTTAAGTCTTCATATCTCATTTGTTTCATAAATGGGCTTTTATTTGTCAAAATTCAAACAAGGCCCACACATTGACTTGACACTTGTCACCATTCTTTCTTGATATGTAGGTTCCCTGTCATCTAAAAAAAATTTTCTTGCCATTTATTTGTTGAAGAAACCAGGTCAGTTGTCTGACAGAATCCTCACACTTAGGGGTTGGCCGGCTGGGCGGGGACTGACTCGTCGCTCTCTGACAAGTATCCCTTGTAGTCATGTATCTGAAAGCTAGGTCAGCTTCAGGAGCGCACCCCACCGCTGCTGGTGCGAGTGCCTCCTGTCACATCATGCCAGGAGGCGTAGGGCGTGTGGCCTTTTATTAGTTATGTTGAGATCAGTCAGAGGAGATTGAAGTGATGTCAGCCTGATCCTCGCTGTAAAGTTCCTCATTAGCTTTTCATCGAGTGTCTTTAGCAGCCATTGATAGTCTCACCTATTTATGAACTTCATAGAAAGAGCGAGTATACATATACATACTATACATTTCCTTTCTGGAACTTAACTGGGGTTTTGTTTGGTTTTGCTTTTTGCTTAATATTGCCTTACCAAGGTTCAAACATGTTGTTCCATCTAACCATTGTGCCTTCTTTTTGTTGCTGTATAATATTCTACCTCTCTTCCTCCTGCTCTTTCCCTGCTTTCCTGCAAGCACTCGCCTCCACTGGAGAGCCCTCCTCCAGTGGCTGTTTTCTCTACCCGTCTCACTGTGTGAGTCCTGGCGGTTGGACACGACCTGCTCTGCCTCTCTCCCAAGTCCCCCCTGGAGAGATCTGTGGCCCAAGGGTCCCTGTTTGCTCCGCCCCACTTTGCCTCTGTCCCAGTCCGAGGTTGAAGCGCTTGCTGAACAACTGAGTGAGGAAGAGGAAGAAGAGGAGGAGGAAGAGGAGGAAGAGGAGGAGGAAGAGGAGGAAGATGAGGAGTCAGGCAATCAGTCTGACAGGGTGAGAGCTGGGGGCTGACATGCCCAGAAGAGTAGGGACTGTGGGGCCAGAGGTCTGAGTCCTGAGGAGTGAGGGCTGGGGCCAGGCTCTTCCACCCTCCCTCCTCCCCAGAGTGGTTCCAGTGGCCGGCGAAAAGCCAAAAAGAAATGGCGGAAGGACAGCCCATGGGTGAAGCCCTCCCGGAAACGGCGGAAGCGGGATCCTCCCCGGACCAAGGAGCCACGAGGTGAGAAGGTTCCTCTGCTTTGGGGTCCCCTCCTCCAGCCCCCGTCCCAGCCCCCAGAGAGCATGCACAAACACGTGCTCATGCATGTACATGCCCGCATGTGCCCACACATCCAGGTGCCCATGGGCTCGCACTCTCACTCTCTCTGTCTCTGTGTCAGGAGTGAATGGTGTGGGCTCCTCAGGCCCCAGTGAGTACATGGAGGTCCCTCTGGGGTCCCTGGAGCTGCCCAGCGAGGGGACCCTCTCCCCCAACCACGCTGGTAATTGCCAATTGCTGGGATAGGGAGCCACTAGGGGGCACCCTCAGGACCGGAGGGAAAGGGGGAGGAGGGAGACCCCATTGGAGCCAGGGTATATATATCCATGGCCAGCCTTTGGGGGTTCTGGAGCACAGAGAGAAAGGCAGGCAGGGTGGGGGTGAACGGCCCCACCAGGGGTCCCGGTGGGTGAGGGGCAGGGCCTCCCTCAGCTCCCTTGTTCCTCTAAGGGGTGTCCAACGACACATCTTCACTGGAGACAGAACGCGGATTTGAGGAGTTGCCCCTGTGCAGCTGCCGCATGGAGGCGCCCAAGATCGACCGCATCAGCGAGCGAGCAGGGCACAAGTGCATGGCCACAGAGAGTGTGGATGGAGAGGTGGGCCCGTGGACAGGGAGAAGCAGACCGGTTACGTGGCCCAGGCCCCCGCCTCACCTCTCCTCTCGCCCATCCTCTCTGCCCACAGCTGTCGGGCTGCAATGCTGCAATCCTCAAGCGGGAGACCATGAGGCCATCAAGCCGTGTGGCCCTGATGGTGCTCTGTGAGGCCCACCGCGCCCGCATGGTCAAACACCACTGCTGCCCAGGCTGTGGCTACTTCTGTACGGCGGTGAGTGGCCACAGGGCACACCGGCAGTGAGCCCCGCCACAAAAGGGGCTTCCATCGCCTCACCGTGTTGTTTCCCTGTCCAGGGCACCTTCCTGGAGTGCCACCCCGACTTCCGTGTGGCCCATCGCTTCCACAAGGCCTGTGTGTCCCAGCTGAATGGGATGGTCTTCTGTCCCCACTGTGGGGAGGATGCGTCCGAGGCCCAGGAGGTGACCATCCCCTGGGGAGATGGAGTGACACCGCCAGCTGGCACTGCAGCCCCTGCCCCCCTACCCCTGGCCCAGGACGCTCCTGGGAGAGCAGACACTTCTCAGCCCAGGTACTGGCCTCTCCCTTCCTCACTGTCTGTTCCCTGCTCCTCCCCATCACCCGAGACATTAGCCCCTTCTCTTGCAGTGCCCGGATGCGAGGGCAGGGGGAGCTCCGGCGCCCACCCTGTGACCCTGTGGCTGACACCATTGACAGCTCAGGGCCCTCCCTGACCCTGCCCAGTGGAGGGTGCCTCTCAGCCGTGGGGCTGCCACCTGGACCAGGCCGGGAAGCCCTGGAGAAAGCACTAGTCATCCAGGAGTCGGAGAGGTGAGGGGGGTGTTGCTCTCAGCACGGAGACTGGGGTGGGTTGGAAGGGCGGATCTGTGGTTGCTGAAGCTGATGCTGGAGTTTAAGGAGCCGACCCCGCCCTCCCTCACCATGGCAGGCGGAAGAAACTGCGCTTCCACCCACGGCAGTTGTACCTGTCAGTGAAGCAGGGGGAGCTGCAGAAGGTCATCCTGATGCTGTGTGAGTATCCATCCGCTTACTCATTCAGCGAAGCTTGACTGGGCCCGAGGATATGTCAGGCGCTGGGCTGGGGCCAGGAGCGCAGTGAAGGACTTCATCCTCTCCCCAGAGGTTACCTGCCTTGCTCAGTGCACAGCAGCACTGAGGGGAAGGGCCGCTTTGAACTCAGGCACAGCTAATGCACCTGGCTCCTTACTCCTGACACGTGCCCTGAGAAACCTTCCTGGAGGAGGTGCCACCTGGCCTTTGGCTTGCTTACCCCTTGTCCCTTCCTCTCCCGGCGTGGTGGGCTCTCCCCACAGTGGACAACCTGGACCCCAACTTCCAGAGCGACCAGCAGAGCAAGCGCACGCCCTTGCATGCAGCCGCCCAGAAGGGCTCTGTGGAGATCTGCCACGTGCTGCTACAGGTCAGCATGGGCTGGCCCTCTGCCTCATTGACCAGGCCCTCGGGCGCCCCCTGCCTGGCCCCTCCCTGGCACCAGCCCACATGCCCCTTCCTTGCAGGCGGGAGCCAACATCAACGCAGTGGACAAGCAGCAGCGGACGCCGCTGATGGAGGCTGTGGTGAACAACCACCTGGAGGTGGCCCGCTACATGGTGCAGCGTGGTGGCTGTGTCTATAGCAAGGTGTGCTAGGCTGGCCACGGGGCCCAGGGGCGGGACTGGCTTAGAGGTGCCAGCTGGAAGACTCATCTGCCTGTGTCTCCCTCAGGAGGAGGATGGCTCCACCTGCCTCCACCACGCAGCCAAAATTGGGAACCTGGAGATGGTCAGCCTGCTGCTCAGCACGGGACAGGTGGACGTCAACGCCCAGGTCAGAGGCCCAGCTGCCCTGTCACCCCTCCCACTCCCCGCTACCCAGCCCTTTGGTCCTTGGCTCAGCCTCAGGCTGTGGCACCTTCCACATTGGCTGACCTCTGACCCCTCCCTGCATCCCATGTTGCTCCAGCTGTTCCCTTATTTCTCTCTCCTCATTCAGCTATCTCTTCACTATTTTCTTTCTTGCTTTTCTCTTTATCAGTTTTCAGAGTAATGAGTTGCTGCTTTAATCTCTGAAGTGTCCAATGAGATTATTTGTGAAGTCTTTGTTTTTCGTGTGATAGATATGTTTTACTCTATTGTCTTTCTTCTCAATCCATCCTTTGTGAGGAGGAGCCCCTGGAAGTTGGCTCCTGTGGCTTTTGACATGACCTAGTATCCTTTGGGAGCATCTGGCCTTTCAGCATTTACACACCATCTGTGTACCTAGGGATAGCTGTTGCTATTGGGTCACTGCATCTAGGACTTTTGAGTAGGCAGACCTAGGGAATAATGTACTTTTTAGAAAGAGAAAAAGGACTCTGCAGCCTTGAACAGTACACACTGTAGTTTCACTTTATAGATAAGGAAACAGACGCTGAGACATTGAGTGACTTGCTCAGGGTGCCACAGCATTGAGTGGCGGAGCTGGGCCTCTAGCTGAGTCTGGCTGCAGGGCATGTGCTCCTGCCCACATGCTGCTTTGGTGAGCAGGGCTGGATGCTGGGCCTGCCCCCGACTCTCTTCACTCCCTTCCCACCCATAGGATAGTGGGGGATGGACGCCCATCATCTGGGCCGCAGAGCACAAGCACATCGAGGTGATCCGCATGCTGCTCACACGGGGTGCCGATGTCACCCTCACAGACAACGTGAGAGTTTGGTTGGGGTGGGGGAGGTGGGGCTGGCCCAGGCCCTGAGCATGGTGGAGGCTAGATTCAAGGGCTCATTGCCCGGGCCACTCCTTCTGCCACCACCTCTACAGGAAGAAAACATTTGTCTGCACTGGGCCTCCTTCACTGGCAGCGCTGCCATCGCGGAGGTCCTCCTGAATGCCCGCTGCGACCTCCATGCTGTCAACTACCACGGGGACACGCCCCTGCACATCGCAGCCCGGGAGAGCTACCATGACTGTGTGCTGTGAGCCTCTGTCCACCCCACACCCAAAGCCCCTCCACCGCCCCTCACGGCCCCCGGCCTCTAAGGCTTCCTCTCCCCTCCCAGGTTGTTCCTGTCACGTGGAGCGAATCCTGAGCTGCGCAACAAGGAGGGGGACACCGCATGGGACCTGACTCCTGAGCGCTCTGACGTGTGGTTTGCACTGCAGCTCAACCGCAAGCTCCGGCTTGGCGTGGGGAACCGGGCCATCCGCACTGAGAAGATCATCTGCCGGTGAGTGCTGGGCCCTCAGTCCCCGAACTGCCTTCTGCCCTCCCCAGGCTCCCCTGAGTCCCAAGAACCCCTTCCGGTTCCCCCTACTAGGATTGCCATATATCGCAAGTAAAAACAGGATATCCAGTTAAATTAGAATCTCAGATGAACAGTTACTACCTTTTTGGTGTAAAAGTGTCCCGTGCAGTATTTGAGATGTACGTGTACTAAAAATTATTTCTTGTTTATCTGAAATCTGATTTTTACTTGGTGCCCTGCATTTTTTCTGGCAACCTCCCTCCACATGCCCCAATGAACACCCAGAATCCTCCTCTTCCTTCCCCCAGCCCCCCAGCCCAATCCCCACGGCCCAGGAACCTCCCCACTCCTCTCTTTTTACCTAGAGGAGCCCTCAGCCCCATTTCCCTTACCAGGGACGTGGCCCGGGGCTATGAGAATGTGCCCATTCCCTGTGTCAACGGCGTGGACGGGGAGCCTTGCCCCGAGGATTATAAGTACATCTCGGAGAATTGCGAGACATCCACCATGAACATCGACCGTAACATCACCCATCTGCAGGTGAGGGGCCTGAGACCTCCTGAGGGGACAGCAGAGCCACCAAGTATAGTGGGGCGAGTCGTGGGCCAACAAGAGAACCTGCAAAGTCATGGCTGGAAGGGAGCTCCAGGGGCGTGGTCTCCACCCAGAGAAGGGTCTTCTTACTCTGGACACAGGACGGTATCAAGCAGGCTTGAGGTAGCCCTAGGGACAAACCTTCAGCAACATTTTGATTCCCTTCGCTGTGGGACCATCACGATCCTAAAACACGGACCCTAACAAAAGGGCAGCAGCTGGGGGGCAGGGAGCCCTGGGAGCTGATGGGCCAGGGCCAATTCCGGGGGTCAGGCTCACCCTGCCTCCCGCCCAGCACTGCACCTGTGTGGACGACTGCTCCAGCTCCAACTGCCTGTGCGGCCAGCTCAGCATTCGCTGCTGGTATGACAAGGTACGTGCCCTTGCCCTGTCCGCAGGTGCTCATTCACTCCTTCGGAGGCCTTGTGCTCACTCCCCGGGACCTTGTGTTTCACCTCCTACCCTGGGGGGGAGTGGCAGAGAGGGCAGGGCCAGACCTGGAATTCCTGCAACACTGCCAGGACAGAGGTGGGCCTGGCCCAGACACATGCAAGTTGAGGCGGGTGGTTGTGGGGCATTTGTCCTTTCTTAGAGTGTGTGTAGTATCCCCCACCCTGGCCTCCCTGTCACCAGGTTGAGGTCAGGGGAGGATTCTTCTGTGGGACTTGGGGATCTTGGACACCTGAAGTGGGACTACACAGAAACCACTGTCCTCCCCTCCCTCCCGAAGGATGGGCGGCTGCTCCAGGAATTTAACAAGATCGAGCCCCCACTGATCTTCGAGTGTAACCAGGCCTGCTCCTGCTGGAGAAACTGCAAGAACCGGGTGGTGCAGAGTGGCATCAAGTGAGACCCTGTCCCTGCAGCCTCCCCTCCCACCCCACCCCCCGCTGCTGCCCACTGCATGCACAGACAAGCACGCACACATGCGCGCACACAGACCCACATGCACAGAGACATACAAGCACACGCTGTCTCCCATCCACCCAACATCGCCTTCTCTCCCACCCCTAGGGTGCGACTGCAGCTCTACCGAACCGCCAAGATGGGCTGGGGTGTCCGCGCCCTGCAGACCATCCCCCAGGGAACCTTCATCTGCGAGTGAGTTGGGGAGGGATGAAGGGATGGATCCACAGCCATTACTACCTCTTCTGCCCTCTCTGCCCTTCTCCCTGATGGGTCCTACTCTTCTCACGGTCCCATCTCCAGCCAGCTTCTTCACACTGTCTTCCCCACAGCCAGGCACCCTTCCTACCTCACTCAGCCCAGACCACAGAGCTATCCATCGCCACTGCCCACATCCCCACCCTGCCCCCTCTTCCCGGCCCTATATAGCCTGCCCCTGCTCTTCTGAGCTAGAGAAAGCACCATTTTGGGAGATAAATCAGGGTTTGAACTCCACTCAGCTGCTGGTATCCTTGGCTTTTTTGAGCCTCATTTTCTGTCCACTTTCAGGGCCCTCTTTCCTCCCCATCAGTTCCTTTCTCTGCCTGGCATCTGTAATCACTCTCTGCCCCCTGGCTCTTAGCTCATGGCCTTTAAACTTACCTAGGTCTCCTTTGAACTTAAAAAAAAAAAAAAAAACTTTTAACCCCATTTGTTTATTTAGGGACCATCCAAATGGTCCCTAATTACCCTTCCTCTTCACCAGCTCCTCTTCCTCTACTCTCCAAGTGCGGGCATCCTCACCTCTGACTTCTTCCCCAGAGTTCCTCACAGCTTCTGTGGCTCTACCCCTTCCTGCTGGCTTGACCACTCATGTCCTTCAGCCTGCCATTGCTACCACCTGCGTGGTGACTCCGAGTCCACAAACCTCTGAGTGTCTAAGCCTGAGCAGAGTTTCCCACCCAAGGCCACGGGCTGTCCCCTGAACTCCGGAGGCCTGGCATCAGTCCCCTTACCTCCCCCACCGTGTCACCAGCTCATCCCCGGCCACCGCACTTGCTGGCCCCACCTGTGGCAGCTATCCAGTGACGACCTCACATGCCAGTGTCCCCATGTTCCTCCTCCTGATCTCACCTTCAGAGGGGACCACCCAGCCAGGTCCCAGCAGTTTTGATCTGCGACATTCACAGACACTACTAGGCATCTGACCTAATGGAAGAGGAGCCTGTGGGGTTGTGAGGAGACACGGCCTGGAGCCGGCCCCCGTAACCCCAGCTCACCTTCAGCACCATCACTTCCTGCCCGGCAGGTATGTCGGGGAGCTGATCTCCGACGCCGAGGCCGATGTGAGAGAGGATGATTCTTATCTCTTCGACTTAGACAACAAGGTGGGCAGGAGGCCCCTCTGTCTCCTACTCCCGGGCAGCAGTGGAAACCTGGGGAGGGCAGGACAGGGTTGTCGGTGAGTGGGGAAGTTGGCGGGGCACGAGAGGTGGTAAATGTAAAGTGTGCCACCCTCCCCTCAGGATGGAGAGGTATACTGCATCGATGCCCGTTACTATGGCAACATCAGCCGATTCATCAACCACTTGTGTGACCCCAACATCATCCCCGTCCGGGTCTTCATGCTGCACCAAGACCTGCGGTTTCCACGCATTGCTTTCTTCAGTTCCCGAGACATCCGGACCGGGGAGGAGCTGGGGTGAGGTGGCTGGGCTCGGCCCGGGGCATGGGAAACAGCACACCTGAGGCCAGCAGCTGGAGAGAGCTCCTGATTTGCCAGCTTGGATTAGAGCAGAGCTCAGAGTCAGTGTACAGAAGTGTCCCTGGAGGTTGTGTTATATAGGCCTGAGCCTCACAGAGGATTTTGATTCAATAGGTTTGGGATAGGGCCCAAGACTCTGCATTCAGACAAGTTCCCAGCCAGTGCTGGTGCTGCAGACCCATAGAGCATGCAAGGATTTAGAGCCTATTGGGAGAAGAAGGGTGTGGGTGCCAGAGTGCCCCCTGGGGAGCAGGATCCACGGGTTCTGGAATGGGCTTGGGCAGTCAGGTCTGGCCCCCATAAGCCTCTTGTGCTCCTCTGACAGGTTTGACTATGGCGACCGCTTCTGGGACATCAAAAGCAAATATTTCACCTGCCAGTGTGGCTCTGAGAAGTGTAAGCACTCAGCTGAGGCCATCGCCCTAGAGCAGAGCCGCCTGGCCCGCCTGGACCCCCACCCGGAGCTGCTGCCCGAGCTCAGCTCCCTGCCCTCTGTCAATCCCTGAGAGTGGACCATACTCTCCCTCCCCACCCCTGAGTGGCCACCAGCTTAGCAGCCGCCTCTGTCACTTGCTGCTCATGGCCACACCCAGGGACACTGCCATCTTTCCCCATAGCCCTTCACACATTCCTGGCCAGAGACCCCAGCCAGGCCCTGGGGGTCTGACAGCCCCTCTTCCAGGGCTGGTTCCTCCCTGGGAGGGTGACGTGGGCTGGCCGCCCCTCTGCTTCCCAACCTCAGCTAAAGTTTGATGAACTGAAGTGGCCCTCTGCCAACTGGTTTCCTTTGTTCTCAATAAATACTGGGTTTGGTAACAAACTGTCTGGGTGATTGTGGGGGTGGGGCTTCCAGGGAGGATGCACACACAGCCGAAGGAATGTGAGTCCAAGGGGCAGAGCGAGATGGGAGGCTGGGCTGGTATAAACAGTAGCCCAGGACAGGAGGGGGCAGTGGGGGGCCACCAAGGGCAGGGTCTAATCAAAGCCTAAAAGGCAAATAACAATCTTGGCTAGGGGATATGGACGTGTGTGAGGTAGTTTGCAGGATTAGGAAGGATTCTTGGAGCATTCCAGGTCCTTCAGGTCATGGTCTGTGGGTCTCAGCGAGCAGCCCTGTGCCCTGTCCCTGGCTGGGCCTTCCCGCCCTCAGCCCTCCCTCCCACACACCAAGGAGGAACTAGAGTGTGTCGGGGGACCACAGGTGGAGGTGGGGCTGTGACGTGGGAGGGCGGGGCGATGGCAGGTGAGTTGCCTGGTCTCCCGGGCTCCAATCACTCCGGAGACTGAGCCATGAGGGGAAAGCAGGACATGGACGTGGAGGAGACTTACGGTGAGGCTGGGGAGAGGCCAGGGCCCTGCAGAGGGAGGGAGGCCTGGCTGGGCACTGGGGGAACGGTGTCTGGGCTTGGCCCTGGGGAGAGGAGCTGGGGGAGTTGATGGAAGGAGGCAGAGCCAGGGTCCTGGGAGGAGGACTGGGTTCAGGGGCAGGGTGCCATTGCTGAGGAGACTTTGGGGAGTGAAGCAGGGGACTCCAAGAGGAAATGGGCTGGAGTCCCTGAGAAGAGGGTGATTGAGACCTAGACTCTGGTCCTTCAGGGCCAGCAGGGCCCTGATCAGGAAGCAAACCCTGAATGGAAGGAGGCAGGGTGTGGTCCTAAGGAGGGGGCTGGGGCTCAAGGGCTGGGGGTGTCCTGTACTGTGGAGCCTGCAACCTGCCAGTGGTGCAGGCCCCTGTCAGCAGTAAAGGCTGGGGTCCCCATGAGGAAGTTTCACCCTGGACTCTGGGTCTCTGAGGGAGACCGGTGCTGGGGATCCGCACCGGTCTCTGTGAGCAGTGGCAGGGGAAGTGAATTGTGCTGGGGGCCCCTGTGAGGAGTTGGGGCCCAGGGTCTTTATGGAGGGAGGATGGTTCTGCCTCTGGGTGTGTTAATAGAGGAGACGTTCTGGGGGCACCTTGAGGAACAGAGGCAGGGGCCTTACGGGGTTCCCATGAAGGGTAAGTCCTGAGGGGAGAGGGAGCAAGAAGCCCGTCTCCAGAATCTGTGAGGAATGAGGGCTGGGAGCCTGTCCCAGGGGTCTGAGAACTAGGGGTGGGGCGATATGAGGAGAGAGGAAACAGGGACCAGTCCCAAGGACCCCTGTGAGCAGTGAGAGCTAGAGGCCTGCCTATACAAGTCCTTTGGGATCTTGGGGGCTCTGAGCCCCTGCTCTGGAGAGAGGGGGACCCCACAGCAGAGGCCTCCCAGAGCGGGGCTTGAGCCCCAAAGGGGACCGGAGAAGAAGTTGTAAGGACTTTCCAGGAGACTTCCTGGAACGGCTGTCTGAGAGCCACGGAGGGACAGGGTCCAGAGCACCTGCAGACCCCACCTCCTTCCACACTTGTCCAGCCCTCCACTCTGCCTACATTGCCCACAAAAGACCCTAGGAGCCTGGCCCCACCTCCTCCCTGTGTGTACTCAGGGAGGACCAGGAACAGGACACGGTCACAATCCCAGTCACCAAGCTCAGGTGTCACCCTGATTTGATTGCATGCCCAGAGACAGGCAGTGGCCTGGAGACTGAGGTCCCTTCAGGTGGGGTCTACGGGGAGCTTCCTCTCTCCCCAGTCCCTGCAGAGTTGATGCTTTGGGTTTGTTTCTTTCCCCATGGCCTGGAGCCAGGGGTGCCATCTGGAGCAGATGGGGGAGGGCCTGTGACCTCCCTGAGGAGGGAGGGAGGGGGACAAGGATTGGAGCATGAGGCCCACTGAGATTACTAGATACAGAGACCCACCTAACAACTAGGGAGAGTGTCTAGAATGATGAGCCAAGGTGGGGGCAGGAGATAAAGGCCATTTTCCTGGCTGCTGGCCTCAAGATGTGAACTGGAAATGACCGGTAAAAGCCCCCCTCTCCTTCCTTCAAGGCCACCTGAGTGGATTCATGATGAGTAGTCAGCTGCTGGCCTGACCTCAATCCTATCTTTCCTGCTTTCCAATTTCCCCTCCAGTCAGCCCTTCCGCTGTCCATCTCCTGCAAACCCTAGTGAGGGCGGGGAAAGATTTGGGGGTTCAGGAAATGCGGAGAGAGACTCCTTTCAGTTCCTCACTTTTCAAACTGTTTCCCATGCCCCTCAGGGAAACCGGTCAAATATGACCCTTCCTTTCGAGGCCCCATCAAGAACAGGTGAGTTCTGGGGACTGCACTGGTGGGGGCAGGGAAGTTTGTGAGAAAGAAAACTTCTGTCCCTGGAGAGTTGGGGCATTGTTGTGTGTGGAGGGGGCACAGGGACTTCCGGAGTGCTAGTGATGTTCTCGTGTGTCTTTTGGCAAAATTCATCCAGCTGAGCATTTATGAGTTAAGCACTTTTCTGTTCTATTTTAGAGAAAAGTTTACCCACATAGAAAAAAGTTTTCTTAGAAAATTGAAATCTGCCAATGCCCACTCTCCAGTCTCCTCCAGTTCTCTTCCCCAAAGGCGTTCCTCTTCCTCTCCAGGAGCTGCACAGATGTCATCTGTTGTGTCCTCTTCCTTCTCTTCATTCTGGGTTATATTGTGGTGGGAATCGTGGGTGAGTTTCCAGTTGTGCAGAGCTGGGGCAGTGGCTGGGGGGCAATAACCCAGAGAGGGACCGTACCCATGGCTGCCCCTATTAAATCCCTGCCCTTCCCCTCTGGTGATTCTTCTGTGTGTCTCTGTGTCCAGCATGGGTGTATGGAGACCCCCGGCAAGTCCTCTACCCCAGGAACTCTACTGGGGCCTACTGTGGCTTAGGGGCAAACAAGTGAGTACGGAAGAGGGCCAAAAGGGTGGTGAGTATGGGGATGGGCAGGAGACACCCAACACTCAGGCTCCAGGCCCTTCCCTCTTGCCCTCCCATTCCACCTCCCAGACCGCCTCCCTGAATCTCACCCCCCAGGTCCCTGTAAGCAGCCTCCATTGCTGGGAAGTTGGCTTATGAGCACTACCCCCATGTGAGGCAACGTAGAGTCAAGGTTAAGTGCATGGGTTTTATTTATTTATTTTTAAAAGATTTTATTTATTTACTTTTTAGAGAGAGTGGAAGGGAGGGAGAAAGAGAAGCAGAGAAACATTGGTGTGCGAGAGATATATTGATTGCTTCTCGCATGCCCCCAGCCGGGGACCTGGCCCACAACCCAGGCATGTGCCCTGACTGGAATCGAACTGGCGACTTTTCAGTTCGCAGGCCGGCATTCAATCCAACGAGCCACACAGGGTTTTAGACTTCAGAGACTGGTCTTTGAATCCCTAACTGGGATTCTGGCTGTATGGCCTTAGGGAAAGTACCCAACCTCTCTGAGCTTTGATATCTTCATCTGAAATGCAAGAATGGTCCCAGAAGTGAGGCCATCAGTCTTTGCAAGCAGGAAATTTCAACCAACAATAAAACCTCTAGTCTTTATATGGTATGTACATGTTCCAGGCAGGCGGTGTACTTTATACTCACAAAATCATTTAAAGCCATGGTGGAACTGAGGCAGTGAGCAATCAAATGACTTGCTGGAAGTCATAAAGTGGGTGGTGATTTGGCTCTAGGGTTCTTGCTCTTAAAGATTTGTCAGCATGAATTTGCTCAGTTCTGTCTGAACCATCTGCAATACTGAATGACTCTGGAATTTTTTTAGTGTCTCTCACACCTCCCAGGTGGACTGAGCTTCCTAAGGCCAGGAGCTGGGTGGTGCCTGTCAAGCCCACCTGGGCCCACTGCGGCCTGGAAGCAAGGTCTGGCTGTCCCCTACACCTGACCAGGCCCTGACACATGCACTTCCTCCTTTCCTGCAGAGATAAACCCTATCTCCTATACTTCAACATCTTCAGCTGCATCCTGGACACCAACATCATCACTGTCGCTGCACAAGGCCTGCAGTGCTCCACACCCCAGGTCAGAGTCTGGGGCCTGCCTCTGCCCAGATCTCCCCCAGATCCAGGTACAAGCTTCTCGGCATACTCTCTGCCCCCAGGTGTGTGTGTCTTCCTGTCCGGAGGCCCCGTGGGTCGTGAGTAACAGTGAGCTCTCACAGACGGTCGGGGAAGTCTTCTACACCGCAGACCGGGATGTCTGTTTGCCGGGGGTGCCCTGGAGTATGGTGAGCACTGCCCCAATGTCATTGTTGTCTTCAAGGAGGGGCCACATGGGTGGGGTTGTGAAGGGGAGTTGGGTAGATGGCTGTGGAGGTAGTGTGTGGGGGGGGTCAGTCCTTCATCCTTCTCTATGACTGTGTGTCTGTCCGTCCTCCTCCCACACCCCAGCCAGTACACCAAAGCCTGCGACAAGAGCTGTGCCCCCGTTTCCTCCTTCCTTCTACTCCAGGTGAGAAGCACACTCCTTCCTCAGTCAGCAGCTAGTCCTATACTTTTATTGCTCAAATGAGGAAACCAGAGTCGGAGAGAGTGAAGTCACACAACTTCACTCAGCACAACTGGGCTGAGGCAGAGTTTATCATGTACCTGCTGTGTGCCAGGCCCTGGGGACAGACGCAGGGAAGATGACAACTGCTCCCTGTGGGAGCTACATGCTAGGTGGGGAGATTGGAGACATCCACAAAGAGGGTGCATGGGAATCTCATGAAGACATGCACAGAGAGTGTACATTTAGGTATATGCACAGGAGACAAACTAGAAGTTCATACAATTGCTACTAAAGGATGTGACAGGGTAGTGGGATTGCAGTTAACTTCTTAAAAATTCTATATGTTCTTCTTTCCAATGGTAAATGTTATTTTTTAAAAGAAAAACATTTAAATTATAGCATGAGAAAAGATATTCAGTTCTCACCATAAGTACAAGAGGAAGTACCTCAAATGCTCCAAATTCAGGTTTG